TGCAAGGGTCTGCACTCCCTCACTCCCTTTATGGCGCCTCAGGCTGTTAGATAGGATGACCACAAATCTGCCCACCTTATCGGTTCAACCATCTGTTGCCATGGTAGCACAGCGGTGGGCGCATTCCTCGGAGACCCAAGAGCTGGGGCAACCGAGCCACCAACAACCCACAAGGTGCAGCAGACCTCTCCTGTCTTGGCCTCCTGTCCTGCCGCTGCTCTCCTCAGCAATGCATTTAAGTCAATCTGCCTTTCTGCTTCCCACTCTGTCTTTTGTAAATCCTCTCACACCTCTGGCCTGTACTCCAGTTCTTTGTAAGCATAAAAAAAAAAAAACTTAAAAAAAAAGACATAATAAGAATTATTAAGAACAAGAACAGACTAAGCAAAAGCTGCTGCTTGCTCAGTAGGGTGTGACATGGCCTCCAGCCAACACCTAGAAAGAACACTGGGATTTAAGCAATTATTTGGAGACTCCATACTAGGGGAAACCAAGAGGCATGAAGGGCCCAAGTAAGTGAGTGCTTCTCTTTCTGGGACACTGAAGTTGAAGGGCTCTACAGTCAGTCAGAGAATTGGGCTTTGGCCTGGTGATTTGTGGGTGAATCTAAAAAAATGGGAATTTACTTTAGATTGGATATTCTGAAAGTGTGATCACAATTATGTGATTGCTTTTGTCTTTAAGTGTTCGGGGAGGGTTGGCTAGAATAAAGATAAAATTTAGCAAAGAAGTAGCAGGCATCATTTTAGCTAATACTTTTGGTATATTGTGAGCAGTTCAAATAAATTTGTTACCCTGTTCTCGTGTAGTTTTGTCCGAGGTTGATTTTCTGATCTTTATATCCAACAGGAAAGTATTATGGCAGAGCCATGAGTGTCAGGCCGGTGTTTAATGATCAGAGATGACATGATTTTTTCCCTCAGGTGCTCAGAGAGGATAAAAACAAATTTGAGAGGAATTTAGCAAGCAATGTATTTTGTACAATACTAGATATTGTTTCTTGCAAACAAGAAGGATGACAAAGCTATTCATTTAAAAAGTTCCAACTTTGGGGTGCTCCCTGGTAGTGCAATGGGTTAAAGCACTGCATTATGAAGCTCTTGGAAGCCACCAGAGCACAAGTTCGATCCCCTGCCAGGGATCTGACCCACATGGCATGGCAGACCTCTCCTGACCCACCCACTGCTCCCCTCAGCAGTGTACTTCATTGATCTGCCTGTTCTGCTCCCCACTCTGTCTCTTGTGAATCCTCTCACCCACCACACCTGGCCTGTACCCCAGTTCTGTAAGCATAAATAAATAAGGCTTTAAAAATAAAGTGCCAACTTTATTTTTTTCCCAGTTTGTACAAAAAATATGAAAATTTATCATCTTCACATACTCATTTTGTAGACGGGGTGTTAAAATTTTTAGAGGTTAACTATTTTTTCCACTATGCATAGAAACAGAACTCAAATTTAGGTTTGTCTGACTCAAGTCATGCTGACTTAAAGAAAAACTGTTGGGAGTCATGTAACAAAACTCAGCTATGTAAATTATAATCATTTTAAACAATACACTTTCAGTGCTTTTTTAATATTCTGTGTTTTCAACCACTTGCACTATCATTCCCTCAAATATATACAGGCCCATCAATTAGTTACTCCCCATTTCTTTCTCAATATAGCTCTGGCAACCTAATCTTGGTATCTATACATTTACCTATTCTGAACATTCATATAAATGGAATCATACCATATGTGATTCTGTGTCTGACTTCTTTTACTTAGTATGATTTCAAGATTCATCCATATGGCAGTTTTCCATTTTTTTTAAACATTTATTTATTTATGCTCACAGATGTGGTGGGTGAGAGGATTTACCAGAGACAGAGGGGAGCAGAACAGGCAAATTGACAAAGTACACTGCTGAGGGGAGCAGCAGGTGGGTCAGAATAGGTCTGACATGCCATGTGGGTCAGCTCCCTGGCTGGGGATTGAACTTGTGCTGCAGTAGCTTTTGAGAGCTTCATTACGCAGTGCTTTAACCAGTTTTGCCACCAAGAAGGGCATTCTTTTTATGACTCAAAACTCACCATTATATGATTTACTGCATTTGGTTCATCTCTTTACCAGTTGATGGATATTTGGCTTTTTCACTGTTTGAGTATTATTCGAGATTGTTGCTCTGTGTATTCAGGTGCAAGTTTTTGTTAGAACATGTTTTAATTTTCTTGGATCAGATGTCGGAATAGAGTTGCTGATTTATACAATGATTCTGTGTTTAACTTTTGAGGAACTATTGAATGGTCTTTCATAGTGGTTGCACAGTGTTAAATTTCTGCAAGTCAATATATGAAGGTTTCGATTTTTCCACATCCTCACCAATAATGGGTATTATTGGGGTTTGTGTATAGCCATCCTGGTGTAAGCATGAATGATATCTCAATGTGGTTTTTAATTTGCATTTCCTTGATGACTAAGGATGTTGAGCATCTTTTCTTGTGTTTACCAGACATTTGTAAATCTTTTCTGAAGAAATACCTATTTGAGTTTTCGGGCCATTTTAAAATTAGGTTGTTTTTCATGATCAGTTTTTTATATATTCTGGATGCTAGATTCTTACCAGATGTATTATTTATAAATATTTTCTCTACTTGTTTGCTTTTGTTACTTGTGGTTTGCTGTTCTATTTAAGAGGCTGTAGTCATATCCCAGGTTATGAAGAATGCTGCCTAAGCTATCTTCTCAGAGTTATAGTTTTTAGTTCTTATATAGTTATTAGTTCTTTACTGCAATGTGTTACAGTAAAATGTGAGTTGCTTCTTGTGTTTAGTATGAGGTGGAGGTTCAGAGTCATTGTTTTGCATTCAGTTGCCCTAATATAACTGTTGCAAAGATTATTCTTTTTCCCACGGGATGTTGCTAGCACTCTTATCGTATCTATTTGTGGACATTGGTATAAGGGCTAATTCTCAAGTCTTACCCCTTTTGAATTGACTTTTTTTCCTGGTTGCATTGATTTACAATACTGTAAAGAGACTTAGAAGATATACTTTGCTATTAGAATAATTTCTCTTTTTTAAAAAAGATTTTATTTATTTATGTATACAGAAATGGGGTACAGGCCAGAGGTACAGGGGCTGTGAGAGGATTCACCAGAGACAGAGTGGGGAACTGAGCGGGAAGATCAAGGAAGTACACTGTTGAGGGGAGCAGTCAGGAGAGGTTTGCTGCACCATGTGGGTCAGATCCCTGGCAGGGGATCGAACTCATACTGAAGCGGCCATGGCTTGGCTTAGCTTCACTGTGCAGTGCTCCAACCCCCTGAGTCACCAGGGAGGGCTGCTAAAAAAATTTCTGAAGGTATATAGTCATAAACCATTGGATTCCATTTTAATATATCAGAAAAGAAAGCAATGATATGAAAATATTAGATGCTATATAACAATATAAAATATGAGTACATGAAGCAAGGAGTTTTAATATTTAACTTTTTCACAAACTTAAATACAACAGGGGTAAAACTGTACAATTATGCTTTCAACTTTTCCTTTTAATTTATTCATTTACATTGCAAGGGTTTCTAGTTAATACATGCACAGTCATAGTTATTTTCAAATTTTTTTTCTTGCAGTTAAAGATGGTTGTTAAAGACTAGAGAGGCATTTTTGCCATGTCAGACAGATCCCCACTTTTTCTGGCTAAAACACTATTTTCTTGCAATGTTGTCACCTCCCCAACTCCCAATATTACTTCTTTTTGTCATATTCTCTTATATAGTTGAACATTTTTTTCAGAGAAGCATCGTGTCCAAAGTAGAAAACCTTGTCTTGGCTGACACAGCTGAGGTTAAATGACCCAGCAGAGAGCATAGGCTTTTCTCTTTTCAACATTCAAACAATCCCCTTCCAAGCATTCATTGACTCGTGGAATTTTTAAAAGATCTGTGTTTCCAGATTTGTTTCTTGATACACCAACTCACTTTTAGAATATCTTCTTCAGTCCTCAAATTCACCTTAGTCTTTAAAACAGCCTGAGGGTGGCAGTGTGTGTTGAACACTAAGAAAACAATTCTTTAGGACAAACACAAAATGTCCTCAAGTAATTAAAGTAGTTATTAAACCCTGGGTGTTAATGCTCTGGATGGATGGTTTGGTGTTTCTATCACCCAGATTTGCCCATTAGGTAGAGTTTGTTCTTTTGAAAGTGAATTCCAAAGGAAAAAAGCAGAGCTATCTACCACTTATATTACTGAGAATTCAAAATGAATTTTAAAAAGAATACAAGTTATCAAAACATCTGATCTTCTCATGATGCCATTAAGGAAGGATCTACCTTCTCCTTTGTTCCTGCCTAAAAGTCAGTACATTGACACTTTAGGGTCACCCAGGCACTGCAGTTCTGTGGCTTCCCAGTAGGGGGCGTTGTAGCATTAAAAATAAAAAGGTATCGCTTTCCTCTGGGGTCTGTTTGTGTTCCTTCTCTGTTTTCAAAACACTTTACAAAAGCCATATGAATGTTTTTTCCCCTCAGCTCTAAGAAAGTGAGAGTTGAAGGAACACAGAAGATTCAAGGACTGTTCTTTTACCCAGTCTTCAGAAATAGTTCATTGTATGCTCAATTCTTGGAAGTTGGTTTCAAAGTCCCAAAGTACGAAATGCATCTCGTAAATCATCGACTTCATAAAGGGGCTGCAGAGAAAAAAAATAAAGTGAGTGGATGACTGTTACATTTTGGAAGATGTGATCTGGGAAAGGGAAGGAAGAAGAGAGAAAGGACTTCTATCAGGGTGGAAATATAGTCAAGCACTTTCCAACAGAAAGAAAGGGGAGAAGACGAGAACGTTATGTAGAGGGTTCAGAGTTGTGCCGAAGAGCAAACTGATTTTCAGAAATGGCAAGAAGCACAAAGGCAAAGTGAGGTTTTCATTAGAGGAGAAATAAGAAATAGACATGATTTTCTATGTGTTTCACATTTCCATTTCCATTCTTACATACATTTCATTTATTCAAATAATATGAAAATGTAAGGAATAAGGAAAGACAACATGACCAGCTCCAGGAAACGATGACCTTGGAGAGAGGAAGAAAAAGACAAAAGAATCCCCTTACCAAAAGGATGCGTCGAAGCTGTCTGGATAGACGCACGGAATTTTCATGTAGCCCTTCCCAAGCTTTGAAAGTTCTTTCCCGGTTTTCCACAAAAGTATTCCAGCAATAAAAATAATCTGTAAAATAGGGAGGGCGGGGAGAAGATGGTTCAGATCTCAGATCAAGGCGACGAACACCCTGGCCCCTTTTTAATTTTCTCCCTTCGCGGTCCCCCAATCTTGTGGCCAATCCATTAATTCCTTTCCTTATTCTAACTGATAAATCGGGGCTCCAAAGGTGAACCAGAACCTTTTGTCCCTCGGATTGTCCCGGATTCTCATGCTGTATTGCAATCCCACGTGACGGCGGCTGCCCCGAGCCGGCGCGGGGAGGTCCCGCTCGCACCTTTAAAGGTCATGATGGCGATTTGGACACCGGCGCGGTGAAGCCGCCGCAGCCCTTCTGGCTCCGCCTTGCGGTCCTCGCAGAAGTAGAGGCGCGCGGTGAAGATCCTAAGCGTGAGGTTGGGGTACCCTCTCAGAAAGTCAGCCACATGGCGCGCACAGTCGTAACAGGGGCTCCATGAGGTGAACCAGGTCACGCGGTAGCACCGGCCCGGGTCCAGGTCCCAGTCGGAGATGTAGCGGAGGAAAAGCAATTCCACGTGGCAGCCAGACTAGGGAAAAAGCAGATCATGCAGCTGCTGTTTATCGAAGTTTATTGCGGTACTGGTGGAATTACAGTTGTAACAGTCAAACACTCCCAACCCCCCGGAATGATCTTTGGGTGCCTACATGTAGTTTTTTGTCTTTATTCTCACAGGAAGGTTAAGGACCTGCCAGTAAGAGCAGGTGGAAAGAACAGAGCAAGGCTGTGGATTTCCCGTGCAATAGAGAATGAAATGAGTTGGTTTTGGACAAAGGTGCATTCCACTCTCTCAGGTTTCATTTGTGTTTGTGGAGTTTGTATTTTTTGTGCCTTTGTTATAAAAAGTGGTTTGGAAATGCTTGTTAAGGTAATGTGCCAGACCACTAGGTGGCAGTAGGGAGCTTGGCTGGACGCGTGGGGCCACAGGTGTATGTACCTCAAGAGAGGTCAGATGCACAACCGAGAGCCATGGAAGGTGATTCCTGTGGTAAGTGCTGACAGTGATATGAGCAAGACCCCTCAGTACTACAGAATACTCTTTAGTCCCACAATCTCGAAGACTTAGGCTTGGTTTTCTGTCTTCACTCCTGAGACTTGGACCAGTCATCCATCTTGGTTTCCTAATGCCTCCCCAGTAAAATAGACAGGTGTTGTGAGGAATAGATAAAAGGGAGGTCGAGGCTTGGTAACGGCCTTGAAGTTAACAGTCTTCTCTGCTTAAACTGTCTTGTTACCCAAGGAGAAAGAGATTGGGATACAAAACAATTGATCTTAGGTCCTGTATGTGATATAATGGAGGTCAAAATAAATTGAATAGTAGTCATTGAACAATGAGCCAGCCAATGTCATTCAACCTTTGCCTTCTCTGGATCTTCACAAAGACTAGATGCTATGGGAAGAGGTGTTCATAGCAGCAGCTTATGTAAACCTGTCTGGGTTTTGGTGCAGTAGTCTCTGCTTTTGCACCTCTCTGCTCTTTGAGCTGCTGAGAGATTTTTTTGTGCACTTCCCCCCCCCTCCTTGATCCCATCCCCCACTCCACCCCCACAAAATGTCTTTGGTATATGACTGTTCATTATTCTTATTATTTTCTCGCCTGGTCCACTATACTCCTGCTAAGAGCTGCTGAGAGAATTAATGAAGTAATCTATTGAGACTTCTGGGGTTTTCAGACTCACCATGCTGACTTGAACACACTGGTCCCAGCTACATGAGGGAATAGAAATATTTGGAAAACAGAATGTAGTTATTAATTTTTCCTTGATTTTTCTTGTGAGTTGATCCTATTAGTCTAGACAAGAGGCTGTTGACCCTCAATTTCCCCCTTAATTACAAAGGCAATTCAGCTGTGGGGAAAGGGGAGAAAAGTCTGGAAATAGTTATTCTTGGCATGGAAGCAAGGTGTGATGCTAACTGGGGGAGAACATTACATGATGTTCCTTGTGGCCTGTTTTACTTGTGTATGTGTAGAGTATCACCAAAAGGACTAGCAGTGTTGGTTTAGTCTTTGACTGATTGGGAAGCCAATTTTCATCAATACCTTGTTGCGAAGGTGACCGAAGTCCAAGGAAAATGAGGTGGCACTATCCCTCCGCTTCACTACATAGCACAAGTAGGTCTCATGTCGGCCCTTAGCCCAACGGACATTTTTGAAATGGTAAAGAAACTTCTTCTGTTTCATCAGGAGGCTGTCAATGAGAGGAGAGAAAAACTACATTAACATCAAGCTTCTAAAAATGTATCCTTGATTGGGCCATTGGAGAGATATTCTTCCTTCCTTGACTGGGTGACCTTGTGAACTTGAGGTTCATTATAAACCCTCTTTCATATGCTTAACACCAATTTAGAGATACTCAGCAAGAACCTCACCCATGCTACCTCAGGGAACAGTCTCTTCCCATAATTGTCTTCTAGGTGTGGATGCATTGGGAATACAAACTCGATCATCAGACCCATGATTAATGATTTCAGGTTACCCATCTAATCTCTAAGTGTCCAATATGTACCTCAAATTTAGCATGATCACAGTACCCTGTGCCCTGGGCCTAGTTGTCCTTTGTCTCTTGGCTTCCTCATCTCGGACTGAAAGCTCAGAATCACCTTCGATTCTTTCTCTTTCTTCATTCAGCCATCTGATTTTATTGATGCAAACCCCTGGATATCCTTGAAATTGTCCCTGTTCCATTCCTTTTTTTCTGTTCAACTTTCATCTTTTTAATTTTTTTTTAAAGATTCATTTATTCACACAGAACTGGGATACAGGCCAGAGATGCGGAGGGTGAGAGGATTCACCAGGGACAGAGCGGGGAGCAGAACTGGCAGATCAACTAAGAACACTGCCGAGGGGAGCAGCGGGCGGGTCAGGAGAGGTCTGCCCCGCCATGTGGTCACCTCCGGGGCAGGCGGGAATCGAACTCATGCGGAAGTGGCTTTAGCTTCTCAGTGCTGTGCTTTAACCCGCTGCGCCACCAGGGAGGGCCCCGTGTTAACTTCTTAACTGGTCTTTTTGCCTCTGTCTTGCACAATGAACCCAGAGCTGACCATGTCACTTCCCCACCGAGATCCCCCAGTGATTCTTTTCTGCCCACAGAATAAACACTCCGGATGTGGTATCTAGCACCATTTTTTTACATTTGGACTTCAATGGACATTTCTAGATATTCTACATGTCCTAGTAATTTCTTCTTCCTTTCCCTCCTCAGGAGACTAGAGCCTACTTTTCCTCAGCTCTTTTCCCCCAGTTACCTTGTTGGGACCCACCTATCTTTATCCATGGATACAACCTATACATCCTTCAAAGCCTCACCACAATTTCAATTCATTCAACCTTTTCCACCACTCTCAAAGTTCTAGACCATAATAGGACAGTAACAGCAACAAGAAGTATCAGTAGTGTCTTATTCTTCAGCTTTTTCTATCCAAGTGCTCACCTGTGTCAACAGTCGGTTGCTGGCATGTTTTCCCAATTACTGTTCTGACACAAGTATCACTTGAGAAGTAAAATTTGGGGGGCAGCTTCCCTGGGGTGGCCTAGGGGCCACTACTGCCTGAGTTCGATCCCCAGACAGGGAGCTGACCCACCTGGCACAGCAGACCTCCTGTCTTGCCCACTGTGCCCCTCAGCAGTGTACTTCAGTCAGTCAACCTGTTTTGCTCTCTACTCTGAGTCCTCTCACCCCCTGAACCTCTGTCCTACACCTTAGTTCTATATAGATATAAATAAAATAAATCTTGAAAAATAGTAAATTTTTTAAGTATAAGACCAATACATGACTGTTCACTGGGACACTATAAAGTAGGATATTAAATCTAGAATATTTGTTTAATAATAACTTTCCACAGTGTTTAAAGACAATTGTTGCTGTTATGTTCCCTTCTGGACTCTTTATAGACATATATTTGCATGATTTTGACTAATTTTGTGATCTGCTTTAACTGGGGATTCAATCTAACATTTTGCTGTGTTCTCAGAGACTATTGCTCTGCTTGTTCCCTGATTTCTGTGTTTTGGATATCAATCTGTACTAAATTGAATTGAATTAGTAGAAATACAGTATGGTTGGGGCAGAATAAGGTAGCATCTCTGATTTTATCAGCTAGACTTTTCCAGAAATGTTGTCACCCAATTTGTGGAGATAATGTTGCCCCCTAATGTCTTCAGGCAGAAGTGCAGAAGACAGGAATTTGAATACCGTTTGCAGGCATGAGAATTGAAACCTTTTTTTTTTTCACTTGAAGGTACAATTTACATACTTCATTGACTTAAAGTGTACAGATCTATGAATGTTAGTAGATGTAAACACCCAACAGCAGTGAGGACACAGAACATTTCCCGAATGCCTTTACCCCAGAGTTTCCTTACCTACTTTTGCAGTTAATTCTTCTCTCCTCTAGCAACCACTAAGCTGTCCTTAATTTCAATTAGTTTTCATTTCCTGGAGTTTTATATAAATCATACATTATCTCCTTGTTGGGGTCCGACTTCTCCACTTAGCATTATGACTTTGAAATTAATTCATGTTGTTGCCTGTGTTAGAGGTTCCTTGGCTTTTACTGGAGTATTCTATTGTGTGGCTACAGTAGGTTTCACTATTCATTGACCTGCTCATGGGCTTGGGATGGTTCCATTCAAGGCTATTGTGAATAAAGCTTCCATGAGCGTTCATGCATTTGTCCTTGGGGACACATGTTGACATCTTAATGATGCAATATGTGAGGCAGACTCTGACTTTAAAAGTGATGTACCCAAATGTCAACTGTATTAAATAGATTAGCAAAGGTCAGAGGTTTTTATTGCTTTCTCTCTCTCTCTTCTTTCTCTCTCTCTCACAAACCCACTCACACATTGAGTGTATAGGAGTGCACTTTAAACCTAGAGACTAAAGCTTCCCTAGTGGTGAAAGGATTAAGTCTCAGCACTATCAATCACTACCTCTGTCTGGGTATGAGTTCAATCCTCACCAGGGAACTAGCCCAGGTAGACTCCAGCAGACTTCCGTCTCACTCGCTGCTCCCCTCAGCAATGTATTTCAGTCAGTCTGACTGTTCTGCTCCCCACTCTGTCTCTGGTGAATCCTCTCACCTCCTCTTTCCCGCCACACCTGTAGTACACCTCAGTTCTTTGACACACAAAAAAGTCCATAAACTCTTTAAAAAAAAAGAACCCTAGACATTAGATTTACTACCAGCACATACATTATAGCAAATAATTTTTAAAAAGTTATATAATAATTTGGAATTAAAAGGCACATTTCAGGAATCTGAAATGGATACTAACAAATTGTAACAATTTTCTTTGATTTAAAAAATTATTATGGTGAGGACATTAGTACTGCTGCTACCACTGTTATTATTTATTTCATCAGCATATAAAAATTGAATGCATTATAAAATTTCTCTTTGGAGCCATTAAAAAAAATCAAGCATTTCTCTCACCCATAAATTCTTTCACATTTTAATTTACTCTCCAGGACTGCATGGGTGAGAAAGCAGGGAACTGTCATGTATTGTGCAGTACCAGGCGTTACCTGTTACAAGGAGCAAGGAAATGAACTCTGCATAGAAATTACAAGACACAGATGAGCTCGCATGGACTTTCCCCCCCTCCCTCAGATAATCATGCAATAGAATCGCAGGACTGTTAACCTGACCCAACACTTTCTTTACGTGTAGCTGGCAGCCTGTGGCCAGTTGTGGCCATTCTCTGGGTCTCTCTCCTGGATGAGAAGGACATAGCTGAGGCAGTTTTTTCAGGCCCAAAGATTGACAGCTGCTCTGGACAGCTGTGCCTCTTGAGGCAGAACACTACCTGCATCCCCAGCAATGCAAACCAGAGGCAAGCAGGTTAAAAATAATCCCGTGTCATGCGCGTGCACTCACTAAGGCGCTTTGCAGCTATTATTTATATTCCTTAAGGATAATTATAAATCTCTATCATCTGTTGAATCTGTTTTCTCCTTTTTTGTCTTTCTCTGAATTTTAACTACCTGTTTACCATTGCTTTGCATATCTATGTATAAATATCTCCACTGGATACTTAATCTCCAACTAATGCCTCAGGTTCATTTTCAAAATCTCATTGTCAACTGAGCATTGCAAACTTTTGCCTCCAGAAAAATTTTCTGCCCCCACTCTGAGCGGATTCAAAGATGTAAACCTACTTTACCTCAAACATAATGGGGGGGGGAATATTTCTTGATGAAGGCAACCACTACATGTTTTAATTCTGTAGTAACTTTTGTGTGAAGGTTAAACTGAGATGTGGCTTAGGTATGATGCACATACACTTTCATATTCACATACCTCATTCCCTCACCTAGTGAAGAAACTAGGACTAGATTAAGTTCTGTGGTAACTAAATTATCATAAAGTGCATGTAAATACTTTACAGAGTTCATATTTAAGAAGTGAGCCAAGCCATGTCTGAAGAAATTGAAAAATAATTAAATGATAGTGACAATGCTAAGAACAGCGTAACAATTGGGCCTATATTATTTTATACTTTTACTTTGTTGCATTTAGCCCCCCCCTTATTATAACAACAATCATATAGAGACTTGCAATTGCTATTGACTAATAAGCACTAAAAAATAACTTCCTTCTTAGGTAATTAAATGATTCAGTAGTTTCCCTAAGAACATTAAACTGCAAAGACTTTTATAGTTGAATGCTTACAAAATCATCACAATGTTTTTAGTAAAAGTGTTACTTTTCATGATTTGAGTCTCTGAACATTTGGTGTGTTAATACTACAAACAAAAACTATTTCTACCTGCAGAACAAATCTTAGGACAGACCAATCCACGGTACACGTTCTTTCACGTATGGAAAAGACAGATGAAAGTTAGGTGGAGACCTAATTTCATCAGAAATGTTAAGATGCAGAAAAGTTTGTGCACACTGACCAAACACATCTTGTGAGTTAGAGTGGGAAGAGGGCCAGCTCCCAGACTCAATACTCAATTAGCCCTGAAAGGAAGCCAGTCCTGCCACCCGCCCCCTCCAGAACTCCCCCTCTTTACCTGTCCATAGTGGATTCCAGGGTGCCTTTTGTGGGTCTCAGGCTAGGGAAAGCTTGCCTCCAGCACAGCTGCCTCCCTGACAATGACCCACACATTCAAATTTGAGCTGAGTCCTTTGAGCTCCTCCCCCCACAGCATCACCACAACCAGGTACCCCAAAGGCCTTCCT